GACCACTAGCCACAGGCGGCTGTCCGGGTTTAAATTAAGCCAGGTGACAGCTGCAGTAGCCGGGGCGGTGCTCAGGAGCCCCTGGCACGGAACCTGGCCCTGCCCCAGCACGTTGTGTTGGCTGCACCTTGCTGGAGAGCACGTGGTTGCCCTCCCCTCCCCTCCTCCCCTTCCCCTCCCCTTCCCCTCCCCTTCCCGCCCTGGGCTTGCTACCTGTGCGCCCCTCAGCTGTGCTCAGCGCCTGCTCTGTGAACCCGACCCGCACCAGCCAGCCTTGCTCTGGGAACTCACGGTCTTGGGTGAGGTGCACGGGAAGAGGCTTCAGGAGTTTGGAAGCCGAACTCGATCTTCTTCTTCTTCCTCTTTTTTTTTTTTTTTTTTTTTGTTAAAGAAATCTGTATTCATCATTAAACTTAGAGAATGCACGCCAGCAAAAATACATATATATAAAAATCACAGTCCCGTCATCCAAAACGCAGTTGGTTCTTTCTTGTTTGTTCGTTTAGTTTAATGAGCGCGTTCTTGTGAACACAAAAGGCCTAAGTAGTAAAGAAGTATTTGGAGTAGAGAGCGGAGTGTTTGCACACCAGCCCCCTGCCCTCCGGGGTGGGAGACACTGTGGGCGTTGGCATGTGGCCTACTGGACCTCCTCACGTATGTGCTGCGCATATGGGCCAGTCGCATGGGGGTGGGGCTGTGTCTTCACCTGCGCCAGCCGTCTGTCATGGGGGTCTTTCCTTTCTGGTGCACGCATATCTTCCTCATTCTTTTTCTTTCTTTCTTTCTTTCTTTTTTAAGAGTTTATTTATTTATTTGACAGACAGCACAAGTAGGCAGAGAGGCAGGCAGAGGCAGAGGGAGAAGCAGGCTCTCTGCCGCCCAGGGGCCTGATGCTGGGCTCGATCCCAGGACCCTGGGATCATGACCTGAGCTGAAGGCAGCTGCTTAACCGACTGAGCCACCCAGGCGCCCCCATCTTCCTTGTTCTTAATGAGAGGACAGTGACTCACATGGGACCGTGTCTTACGGCCTGAGGTCCCGCAGTGAGCAGGCGCTGAGGATGCCTGTGTGTCCTGTCACAGGTTCTCAGAAGCGGTGAGTTGCCCGCTTACCCCAGGGTAGGCCAGGGCCTGGTCTAGTGCAGACTCAGATTTGTCATGTTTCTGCCATGTGCAGTTGTCATTTATTTGGCTTTTAGTTTGTTTACACTCAGCATGGTTTTGGATAAAGTTCTTCAGTCTTGGTGTTGTGGTTGTCGTTTTATGTTGGAGTCTGGAAAAGCCTCCTCCGAGTCCAGATAGGGGTGGTTCCTGTAGGTTTTTTCTTCTCTCGGCTTTTTTTTCACCTGGAAATTTCACCTCTGTATCTGTATCACATTCTCAAGTGTAGAACAAGGTAGGAGTCTCACACCGTTGTCTTTAGTTTCCTGCATCAGGATTTGGTTTGGCTACAGAGAACAGAAGTCATGGAGCCCTGGTGGTCCAGTCCCCATCGCGGGCTTATCCCTCTGTGTCGCCTGCCTGCCTTGCTCCACACTGGGGGCCTTTCTCAGGGTTGTGTGGGCCTCTCTGCCCTGAAGAAACCGTCTGAGGAAGTGTGTTGCCAGCCTCCGCGGGAGAGCGTGTGCTCCTTGTGCTTCCCAGGGACCAGTCGATGGCTCGCTGGCCACCTGAGGCTATGGGAGGGGCCCCTGAGCATCCTGGTGGACAGCCAGCTTCTGCCACGGGAGGCCGTGTCCCAGGGCCTCCCATTAAATAATCGTAGTTTCCTGCTGGTTTTGAGATGCCACCTCTGTGATCTTTCGTAGAGGAGTTTCTTCTGTGATGGTCACAGCGTAGAAATTGTCATGGGAGATTTGGAGACCGGCTGCTGGGGGGCTGACGCTGCACCCTACGAGGCAGCAGCTAATTGTGGAGGAGGCTTCGGCGTGGTTTTCTGTAGATCTCTTGTCAGCTGTGAAATGCCTTCGAGGTTTGATACGTGAGAAGAGTTTGTTTCTGGGCAGTAACGATCGTGTGGACGTAAATGATGGTGGACGTTCACGAGGAGCTGCTTTGGAGAGTTGAACATGTGGGTCATAGACCCATAAAATGGCCTGGGTCGTACTGACGCCTGCAGCGGGTGCGCGGCCGACGGCGCGTGCTGGTGGAGTGTGTGGTCGGACACGCGGCTTCGTAAAGTGGGAGTACGTACGGGTAACGTTAGCGTGAAGTACAATATTGCGGGCTGTTTGGCACTGTTGGGGATGTGAAGTTGGGATATATTTTAAGGGGAACGTGATCTTAAATGACAGGCACATAAGAAGTATTTATTTAACTAAAACGTGCTTTGATTCATCCGTTCCCGTGGGTCAGATGCCGTCCGCGAGCAAGTGGTGTTCTGGTGCTGGGGTCAGGCGCTGAGCCGTGAGCCCTGCACGGTGCTCGGGAAGGGCCCAGGGAAGAGGGGGGTGGGGCAGGGGAGCTGCTGCCCCGCCTAGCGTGGGTTCTGTTGCACTGCTCTGATTCCACCGTTCCTCCCGGAGTGGTCAGCTGTCCGCTCCCCGCCCGAGCCCCTGCCCTCACCCGGTCCTTGGTCTTTGGCGCTTCCTTACTTGGAGGGCAGACGGCTGAGGGGGTCTTGGAGGTCGCTCGGATGTCACGATGGTTCGACCTTCCTGTGTCTTTCTGGGCCGATGGTGTCCTCACACCCCAGAGCGCCGTGGTCTTGAGGCAGCTGCAGGAGTCATGCAGTGCCTCGCCGAACCTCTTCTGCCTTGAGGAAGGGCCAGCAGGGGCTTCTGGTACCCCTAGTACTAGGGCCGGAGTGCCCCTTCTGGTCCCAAAGCAGAAATACTCTTCCTGTCTGATACTTGTTACCGCAGGTCACTTTTAGGCCCATTTCATACTCATTTCAGTTGGGTGTGTTCTTAGCGCATCTTCTCGGCAGAACGGGACACTTGAAACCGGGAGACCTGTGTGTTCCACTTGGCACCGCTTCCTGCCCTGGGAACGTGGGCATGCCTCGACCTCATTGTTCGTCTGTCCTGAAATACGGGCAGGAGACAAATGCTCAGCAGCCCCTTCTTCTGTCACAAGCAGACATCAGATAAAACTGACACTGTCCCACTGATGGGATCGTGTCTGTGCAGACCGGCACAGGCGTTCCCGTCGTGTCCCTTCCTTTCCCGGTGCGTGGAAGGTGACTGAGCACAGGAGTCCTGGAAGCCGGCAGGCGGGGACAGTTTTATGTTGTTATTTCAGATGTGCACAGCATAAGAGAAAGTTGGTGGCACGGTGGGCACGTTGCTATGCCCTGTTTACAAGGTGTTTTAGCTACTGAATTTCTGGGGTGTGGGTAGAATTTTAGCTTGCTCGCTTGGATATGCTTCTTTGACTTTGGGCTGATTGTTTAACTAGGCCTCTCTTCTTGTTATTTTGTCTCTAAATTTTACACTGTTAGCAGTACTAGGAGTTGTAGGAGAGCACGTGCTCTTCTGCTTTCCACGGACCAGGTGATGGCCAGCAGAGCGCCTGCCAGCAGTTCTCCGCTGCGACAGTGACTGACGCAGGAGACCCCCCAGGGTGTCCTTGCTGACAGCCAGGGTCGCCTTTGGCTCTTCCTGGTGTGACCACTAACCCACTAACCTGACGTACCGGGTCCTGCTAACCATGTGGCCAGTTGACGGCAAGTTCTAGATGACTTCGCAGACTCACACAGGCCGTCTGAGCTGCTGGCAGGGCTGTGGTTTGATGCTTTGCGGTGTCATTGGTGTTTAGTAACTGTTGAAGCGACAGCAGCTTTACTCCCCACACCTTGGAGTTTGATAGGTATTTTGGGAAAATTCAGTGTCCTATGACTTATAACCTTTTTGGATATGTTAAACACTGTCCTCAGGGCTGGCCGAACCACCGTCGTAGACACGATAGACCTTAAGTTCCAGCGACAGTGTAATTTGGTATCGCAGGTGTACCGAGAACAAGGGGGTTGAGGACTGATTTCCTCCTAGGGTCCTGTGAATGCTTTCAGGGGCCTCCAGGCCCCCTCAGACCTGCTGCTGAGTGTTAGGAATGGTCGCTCCGTGCGGATTTTTGGGGTGCGGGCAGCACTTCAGGTGAGACAGAGAAGGGCCAGTAGAGTATGTGAGGTGATAGGATGCCCCTTGCCTTTGTCACTGGACATTAATTGTCCTGTTGAGAAGTATTCCCTTCTGGTATGAGAACTATTTTGCTAGCTTTTGAGCTAACGTTATTATATTATTATTGAGCAAATTTTATTTTGTCTTCTCTTTTATTAATCAAACTTAGAGTGAAACAGGTAAATTTGATTTGTCTTAATTCCCAGGATTTGATTACTTGGCCCCCTAGAATTCATCTTTCAGACTGACTGGGGATGAGGGTCTTTCCTTCTCCCAGGAGGAGTCTTCGCTGTAGATCCTTGGCCCTGAAAGTGAACCCCACAAGCCTGGCCTGCCCTAGGACGGCCTTTTTCGCCTAGGGCGGGTGGAGGGTGCGAGTGGTGGCTCCTGGGGTTAGGGTTAGGCTGAGTCAAGCGAAGCGGCTCTCATCTCCCTCTTCTGCTGGGAATGCCACTATTGGAGCTCTGTTAGGAAGAGAGGGCTGTATCCACCTTGGCTTGGAGACTCCCTGGGTGGCTAGCGCCTTTAGGAGAGGACAGCTGAGTGGTAGCCCTGGGGGGCTTGGTGGCCTGCAGGGTTCTGCTCTGGCCTCCAGGAATGGGCTGACCTCGGCTTCCTAGAGCTGGCCCCGCTGTGGCCATTGTGGATGCAGCTTTCAGTGCCCAGAGCAGTGTCCGTCCTGGCGCTGGCAGGGTTGGCCTGCGGGTCTGCGCCGCCGCAGTGAGCCGGCTGGGGGTCTGCCAGGGGTTCCTGTTGGGGGGTCAGCCGCGGGGCTCCCGTCTAGCCTGGGGCTCGTGGTGGGAAGAAGAGCCGTTGTGTTTCTCGTGTGGCACGTACTCAGCTGTAACAGTAACTCGAGTGTGTTTTCTCTTTTGTCCACCAGACTTCATGAGGAAATCATTGACTTTTATAACTTCATGTCCCCTTGTCCTGAAGAAGCAGCCATGAGACGGGAGGTGGTGAAGCGGATTGAAACCGTGGTTAAAGACCTCTGGCCAGCGGCTGACGTGGGTTCTCTCTTTACTGCACTTGGGTCACACCAGGGATGGCAAGCGCCTGGGGTCCTAGGGTGTCCCTGGCCCTGAGTCCCTGGCTTGGCCCTCGAGGGCCCGGGGAGGGTGGCGGGGTGGCACCCACGGGTTCCCAGGCCCTGCCTCGCCGAGCGGCTGCTGGGGGGGGCGGGGGCACGACCCGTGCTTCACACGCGCTCTGGGTGAGTGTGGGGACTGTGGGCCGAGGGAAATTTGTTTCTGGAGTAGTGTGATTACCATTCTTTTCAACTCCCCTTGAGGTTAGAAATTCTACCCCTTGTCCTCATTATGCAACATAGCATAAGTTCCTTTTTGTAGAACTGGGAAGCATTCCCTCCCCTCGCACTTCTGCTGTGCATGAACGTGTGTGCCTTGAGATGGGGGTCGTGGGCACTTGGGGTGCTTGGCATAGGCAGTGACCTGTGTCCTGTGACCAAGCTGATGACGGTCCAGGGCTCCCTGGATAGTCAGCTTGCTCTGCTGGTGGTGACATAACTGGAGACCACCCTGTGACGGCTGGATGAGCTGGGCTGGGGGCGCTTGCGTGTCCCCAAGGGGGCAGGGGCAGTCCCTTCACTCCCTTCCTCTCCTGTGATTTCACTCCGCATTTTTGTCTGTGAGCTTGGGTGCCCTGGGGCAGAGCCCCACTTCTGCACTGTAGCTACAGGTTTGAACATTGTCCACTTTGAGCAGTTTTGGGAAAGGCCAATAATGGTTTCATCCCTTAACCCGAGTTTTTAAACATTCCCTCTTGGGGTAGGTCTTTAGCGGGTGGGCAAAGAGGATTCGGCTTGGTGGGGCTTTGCTACACCCTGCCCCCCCGCCTCCGGCCCCAGCCTGCAGGGCAGGTGTGTCTGGCCCCAGAGTGGGCATGTGGCCTGCCAGGGCGCAGCAGGGGCTCAGCGGTGGCGGCCGGTGTAGTGACGGGGCCGCGCTTCCCTTCCAGGTCCAGATATTCGGCAGCTTCAGCACAGGCCTCTACCTCCCGACCAGGTGGGTTCCCGGCCGAGCCGCTCCGCTCGTGCTGCTGCGCGCTTGAGGTGGGCCCATCTGCGTGTGTGTCAGGGCTACATGTAGGTTTCTCAGGCTAGAAATGGGAGCTAAAGGAGAAGACTGGGAGTACAGAGGAAAAATTGCAGGAAGTGAAACTGAATTTAGTGTTAGGATAATTGAATGTAGTTTCCTCTTGCACTCAATACTGAAGTACGTTGCAAAGATGCGGGACCCAGAAACGTAAAGACCCGCCGGAGCGTCACCGGAAGAAAATGCGGTGGAAGGCGCCGTGCCAGTTTTGGATAGGTTTTTGGAAATTGACCTTCTGCTTTAATGAAGATTCAAGCAAAATTCTATTTAAGTAGTATTTTGTATTTTTTAATTAAAAAACATCCAACAAGATTGCATCTTGAAATTGTTCTGCAGTGTCTTCTTGTCAGGAACTGTCTCGATACCCAGATCCATTTTATGTACATTGTTTTGTTAAGAGCTTACTGTCTCCTCACCCACTGTTACGATTTGGACGCTGCAGAGGCTGTCGTCTCAGGACTTGGGGTCGGCATTGGCAGGGCCAGTAGGGAACTGACCAGATTCCAGGTGCCCAAGAAGCCCAGGTCAGCAGGAACGATGCCGTGTAGACAGCACAGGAGGAGGAAAGAGCCAGGGAGCCTCAGAGGGGCGTGCTTCACAGGGGGGTGTGTGTGGCCCTGGAAAGAGATGGGTGTGTGCATGCTGTGGCACTGGTCCGCCCCAGATGTGTGCGTTCCCGGGGAGTGATGTGAGCCGAGCCTTCACACTCACTTGTTCTTCTGTCCAGCGACATCGACTTAGTGGTCTTTGGAAAGTGGGAGCGCCCTCCTCTGCAGCTGTTGGAGCAAGCTCTGCGGAAGCACAACGTGGCCGAGCCGTGCTCCATCAAAGTCCTTGACAAAGCTACAGTAAGTGTGGGGCCTCGGCCCGCAGCCCCGCGTGGGCGCTCATACCCTGCAGGCAGTGTGGTTCGCCTGCGGCTTCAGCTTAGGCTGTGGACAGGAGCCCTCTCTCCTGCTGATATAAATGTACTTGTATTTGTTTAGAATGTTAGGATCACTAGCTGAGAACGTATTTCATGACGCCCCGAATGACTGCAGGCTGTGAGAGCATCACACTGCCCTTGGCGCTAGAATACGATCGATCAACTTTCGTTAGGACTGTGAGAAAGGGACGCGTTCGGGGCTGCCATTTCGGGCACATGTAGTTGAATGGTGAAAGCTTGCCTTCTGCCCAGAAAGTGATTACCATTGCCAAGTTATAGTTAAGAAACAAAATTTGCCTATTCTTTCATTCAAAATTTTACCCATATAAAAACCTTTGATCTTGGGGAGAAGTTGGAAGATGAGGGTCCTTTGATGTGCGCTCGTCGAGGTTTATCTGAGTCCAGGATTAGAGACGGCTCGGAACTGAAGTCACTTGCCCTCTGTGTGGTCATGATTAAAGCCCGGATCCCTGTCCTCTCTGGGCTCTGCCATTTGTCCTGTGGTGTTGGCTTCTCGAAGAGAACGAGGTGATGGCTGTCTCTGACCAGGTATCCTGCTTTAGACGGAGAGAGGTGAAGAGGCCAGGCCTGCTTGTCCTGGGCTCCAGAGCATTCTGGAGGACAGACCGCGTCCGGTAGGTTTTACAGTAACACCACACCGTCTGCTCTGCTGCAGAGACCTCAGAGTAACTGAGCCGCACTGGTCTTCCGCTGCTCCTTTCTCTCCTTGGGAGCTCTTGCCGTGCAGCCTTCTGTGCCGGGCAGCCTCCACATCATCTGGTTCGGAGCCCCGGAACCCAGTGTGTTGGCTGCATTTAAGAAGAACGGTTGTGTATATTGAACACCCACTGAAAAATAAATATTGTGGCACTGTTAGTAATCTCTAGGATCTGGGGTTCAACCTGTGAGTGTGTGTGTAGGAGAGTGTGTGCAGGGGCAGGTGATCACCAGGAGTGGTTTCGGGAAAGCACTCAGTGGTGTAGAGAGGAAGGTCCACAGTAGTGATGGGGACAGGAGTTCTTCACGAGGGAGGTAGTATGTTGTGGAGGCTTGGGCTCCTTCTGAAATAGTTTGTGGTAAGATGTTTGGGAAAGCCTCTTGTTTTTTTGCCTTCCTAGACCACACTGGCTGGGGCTCACTGTGCCTCGTGGTCCTGGTGATCTCCAGGAGTCGCTGTCACCACCCGCTGCCCGTCCCTGTCACAGTGTGTCCTTGGCACTTCGCAGTTTGCCACCCTGGATTCTGTGAGGTGTCCTCAACCTCTAATTAGACCTCGCTCATTTTGGTCAGAGAACATCCTCTTCCATTCCTTGGAGGCTGAGGGAAACAAAGTCTTGCCTTTTGTTCAGGGAAGAAGAGTTTTGTGTGGGGGTTGGGAGGAGTGTGGCCTCTGTGGCTGCTGGGGCGGCTTTGTTTTGGTGAGGCTGGTTTTGAGCACCTTGTGGTGGTAAGTCTTTCTGATGAGAATATTTCCAAAATAGCTTCTTATTCTCTGGTTTTACAGGGAAGTGGTTTTTTGGTTTGGGTGTGTTTGTTTTTTTAGTTGAATTGTCTTAGTGAAAACACTAATTGTCTTAGTGTAGAATTGTTTGGAGAAACAACATTAGCACAAAACCAAATTGAAAAACTGGCTTTAAACTTACTCTGAGTGTTTTCAGAAATTCTTGCAAATGTAATTTGGGGACCTGGAGCCCTGCTCCATCATCAGGCACCCCTGGGGGGTCAGGGACTTAGCTTCTCCTCCTGGAGCCCCGGCCTTCCCGCAGGTAGTGGCTGATTCTGAGTCTGTCCAGGAGGGCCGGGCAGAGGTGAGCCTTAACTTTGCAGGGTGGGGCAGGGGCCTGGGTGCCAGGACTAAGGAGGCTGACTCTGGCAAAAGTCCCTTTTCTTCTCATTTTTTAAAGTCTGGGGTTCATGATCTCTCAGCCCTTTCGTGAGTTAGGAAGAAGAACCTCGGTGTACAACATAGGAAACATTTTGATGCCAGACTGCAGTGAATGTTGGCCATTAAAGCTTAGTTTTTTTTTCAATTAACTCTTTGCAGGTACCGATAATAAAACTCACAGACCAGGAGACTGAAGTTAAAGTCGACATCAGCTTTAACATGGAGACGGGGGTCCGGGCAGCAGAGCTCATCAAGAATTATATGAAGGTGCTGTCGCCGGCGCGTTAGCACTGTCAGAACGGGGACCTGTTACGCTGGGCATGTGGTGGGATTTAAACTGAATGATAGTCTTTAATGATAAAGACTTACAGTTGAATTATTTATCTTGCAATACTATTTCTAGAGATACTCCGAAATTATGTAGCTGTTTTGTAGATTTACTTTCCTGGCTAACCACGAAGTTGAGTGTTATTCTAGAGAGTTTGTGAAAATGCTCTTCTCATGATTACAAAATGACCCTCCCGAGAGCTCAGTGTACCTGATCTGCGAGTTTAGTTTATTGGAAGTGGAAGGCGCGATGTGGTGTGCTTATTAGGGATCATCTCAGTGCCCAATGATGGGCTAGCCGACCAGGTGTGTGGTCTGGTTAAATAGATGGTCTTTCCCTCCTATTTTAGGGAAAGGGATGAAATCCTTTACAGAGGCAACCTCAGCATCGTAATGTGGATACTGCCTCTTCCCACAGGTTCAAGGACCTTGTTCCTTCAGTTTTTCCCTTAACTCTGCAGCAGCAGGCTTGTCTGCCTAAACTGCTTCCCTTAACTTCTGGGCCCAGCAGAACATGAAAACAGCAGAAGCTTCCACTGTCCCCCAGCCCTCTTCTCCAGCCTCTCTCCATTTCCTTCTTACCTTCAGCCTGCTGTCCATGTTCTTCTGCTCTTGGCTTCCTGCCTCGTGAGCTGTACCACCCCCTTCCCCCACCCCTCCTCTCCTGGGGGCCCCTGGGCACTGGAGTTTTGTGCATCGCTTCCAGGACCTTCCTGGCTCACGGCCGCATCCCCCTCCTCTCCTTCCTGCCCCCAACCTGCACCTGTCACAGAGCAAGCTAGGCCACGAGAACTGATTGGAAGGAGTACACTCCTTTCCTACTCCCTGAGCTCTGCTTTGGGCAGGAGCTCCTCCAGCCTCATCCCTGTTGAACCATGACCTGGGATGTGGCTCCCGGGGGGTCTTAGCAAGTCTTCACATAATTAATTCTCAGGCACCTAAAAATTGAGGATGATGGGCCTAGAGCCTTCTAGGTGGTAAGAGGATCGAGTAAGCTTTTTTTTCTACTATGTGAAATTTGCTGTGTGACACATCTTTAAAGGTATATTAACTGATTTTTTTTTTTTAATTTACAGAAATATTCATTGCTGCCTTACTTGATTTTAGTATTGAAACAGTTCCTCCTGCAGAGGGACCTGAATGAAGTTTTTACAGGTGGAATTAGCTCATACAGCCTAATTTTAATGGCCATTAGTTTTCTACAGGTGAGTGTGCGTTCTCTCAACAGCCTTGCATAGGAGCACGTTGCACATTCTGCCTTGATGTTGTGAAGCCCTTGCCTTGTGGGGTCCAACTGCCCTTGCTCTCCCTGCACGCTTCTGCTTTGGTTTAGAGAAATTGACTTCTGATTGTCACTATAAAACGATTTTGATCGATACTTCTTTCCTCCTTCTCCTTTATAGCTCATTTTCATAGTTGAACAGTTTGAGGGAAGGCAGGCTATCCTGGCCCATCCATCGGGCTCACACCGGTCCGAACTTGAGGACCCTGTCCATGGAGAGACTTTTCATGCCTTGATGGACAATAAAAAACTGATTTTCTTGGTTACTGACTATGATTTATGAAAAATTTGTTTCAGAAAAAAAAATTAGGAACCACATATGGTAAAAAAAATTGCTGAAGAGAGAGCCTTTCTTCTCAGATTGACAAGACATAAATATTTTGTCTCAAATTTTATGTTGCCCTTATTTTATTGAGTACCGTGGGACAACCTGTCAATAGAAAACCTACCTAGACGTATTAAATGCTGTGATGTTGTTACTTACTTGACATATAAGACAGTTTTGTTTAATGTATAAACTTACTTATATGTTAGTTACTTAACATATAAAATAGTTTCTGAGTTAATGGAAACATTAACCCCATTTATATTTTCTTGAATGAAGGATATTCCGTTTTTCACGAAATCTTTCCTGTCTATTCTAGCTGTTTCTCCACATTTGTCATTAATTTTGTATTTGTGATTGTGCTTAGGGTTTTATGTCCAAAATTCAGCTCTCTTTCCATTAATGCTGCTGATAGAGGTCGCGGTCACACCACCTCATTATTTTGACTCCTGTGGCGTTTATTTGCCAGAGATACTGGAAGAATAGTGAAAACGGAATCCTGCTCCTGTTTTCTTACAATTTATTCACATTGCTTTGCCTTCCATCTTTTCTTCCGTGATGCTACCCTTGGAGACATTCTTCCCTAATTTTTGGATATTTTCTTTTGAACTTAATACAACCTGTTGCTTTTGACTTAGTTCTTCATGTTTTTCCCGATTTGAATTATTTCAGTAGCCTTGTTATCATGCCTGCCACTTGTTTTTATGGTGCTGGGCACTGGCCTCAGCGCCTCCTGTCTCCTTACCCCATGGGGTCCTGGCAGCAGTCCGTGACCCCACGGAAGCACACGCGCAGAGTGGCTGGCTGGCACGCCCCTTGGTGCCTGGCCTGTCCTGCCTCAGAGCTGTGCCTGTCGTGGCGTCTGAGTGCCTTTCTTGACTCACTGAGGTAAGGGGGCCCAGCCTTGCACCGGCCAGCTCTCGGGTGTTTGACTCTGACTAGAAGGCAAAAGTGAGAATACTGTCCTGCCCGGGCAGATCCTCAGAAGCCACAGTGCTTGTGGACCCTAGAAATACTGGTGAGCGTCAGGGGTGCCTCTCCTCGGGGCGCGGTGAGTTGTAAGTCTCAGCCCTCCTGCTTCCGTCAGGAGCTGTGCTTTCCCTTGGACGTGACCGTCAGCATCCAGACCTGCGCCGTCTGTTAGACCTTCCCATGCAGCTGGCGTGTCCTCGGTCTGCACAGGCCCGCAGGGACCCCAAGCCACTTGTGCCGACTGAGCGCTTGTCCTGTGGCCAGCCAACTAAGTGTTTAATTAATTTGTTTTAATTAACTTAAGTAGAAATAGCCACCCACGGCTGTGGCTGTCCTCATGGGCCGTGCAGGTCTGTACTGTGGGCCTCTTGGGTCAGGAGGGTGTCCGCAGACAGAGGCCGATGTTCAGAACAGGTCCATTACCTGCTTGAAGAAAACGTGGCACTGAACTGGGTCCGGCACTAATCCGTATGACAAGCAGGGATGTAAATTTGGTGTAAATATTATGACACAATACTAATCACCTGTACACAGTTAAAAATTAATCTCTCCACTCCCGGGCCGGCACACTGACACCGTTCAGCCTCATACTGCCCTCTGTGGGTTGTCTTGGAATAATGGGATTAAGGTTAGAACCTATAACATGATGTCTAGATGACTCTCAGTTGTGGAGAATGTGGTCTGCTTAGGGATCCATTTTTGGTGACTTGTTAATCAGAGGTCCGTGTCCGTAGGAAGACCCTCAATGGATGAGGAGTTTCAGAGAATTGAAGTGTAATAAAAAATCCAGATTAGAGGTTTTCTTTCTTTCCAACACTGTGTACTGACTACGGCCTCCAGGCTGTGCGGGTGCCTCTGGCTGTCGCCCGGAGCGCCTGCAAGGACTTGGTGAGTGAGCAGGCGTCGCTGGGGTGTGTCCTTGCCGAGCCACGAGGTAGCGGACCTCGCTGAGTGCAGTCTTCAGAAAGTGACTTGAGTCCAATGTGGGGTCTGTTGCTTTTCCAGTTGCATCCGAGAATCGATGCCCGGAGAGCTGATGAAAACCTTGGAATGCTTCTTGTAGAGTTTTTTGAACTCTATGGAAGAAATTTTAATTACTTGAAAACTGGTATTAGAATAAAAGAAGGAGGTGCCTATATCGCCAAAGAAGAGATCATGAAAGCCATGACCAGTGGGTACAGACCGTCGATGCTGTGCATTGAGGACCCTCTGCTGCCTGGTAAGGGGGCCTGGGGGGCCCGGCTTCTCACTGGCTCTGAGCCTGGGGGCCCAGCTGGCGGCCGGTGCAAGGAGGGGAGGCGGGTGTCTGCGGTCCCTGAGCCAAGGCTCCTCTGCCTCGATGCGGGTTTCTCCTGTCCTGACAGTTAATGGGGACACCTTCCGAAGTGTGTCTTAATGCCTTCTGGTTCACTTCTTATAAAGTTGGAATGTGTTTACGTTCTGCAATTTACCAAAAAAATGTAGAAATAAAAATTAAGGAATAAAAGTTTATTTTTTCTGATTAGGAAGGTATTTGTTACATTTCATCATAAACTATTCACTTCCAAAACGTATATCACAGAGAAAAGCGAGGTAGACCACAGTCCCCTTCCATTCTGGTGTGCATTTCTCCATTTTTTTCCTACATGGATATTAATATTTATTGCAGTCTTGTTAGTTAAATGGATCATGTAATACATACAGTTTTGGGACTTGTGTCTTTAATTCAGAACAAATTCTAGATCCCTTCCGTGTGTGTGTACGGCATGTTCCATTGTGAGGATTGCTGCATTGGCCATCCCGAGGTGGTGTCTGGTTTCCCTAGTTTTACTCCCAGGAGCATAACGAAGGGCACGCCTTCCCCCTCCATTAGGGTTGGTCTTTATAACTCTTGCTGCTCTGATAGATCCATGCAACATACATGTGCCTTGAGTTTGCATTTCTTTCTTTTTTTTTTTTTTTTTTAAGATTTTATTTATTTATTTGACGAGATCACAAGCAGGCAGAGAGAGAGAGGAGGAAGCAGGCTCTCTGTGGAGCAGAGAGCCAGATGCGGGACTCGATCCTAGGACCCTGAGACCATGACCCGAGCCGAAGGCAGAGGCTCAACCCACTGAGCCACCCAGGCGCCCCAAGTTTGCATTTCTTTAATGATGAGTGAGGAGAAGCAAATATTTATTTATCGAGTCCACAAATACTTATTGAGCATCTAGTATGTGAGATACTGTTGTTACTGTTGGTGATGAAGTCAGTGACAGGTGACAAACGTGGTGGAGACCTTGTGCCCCGGTGTGCCGCGCCTGTCTCCCGGTGTGCGCATTCACGTGCTTAGTCTGTGTGTCCGCCCGGCTGTGTTCCTTGTGACTTTGTGGGGTCCTTCCCGCCTCTTCTCCATCGCCGTGCTCCGTTTTTTTTCTGCTCCAGTTTGTCCCTTGAATCTGTATTTGGTGTTTTTCGTTATTCTGTTTCTATATATATTTTTTAATCTCCTTAAATTTAATGGATTTTTTTGTTTGTTTCGTTTCATGGCTGCTGGAGTATGAAATTCACTTCTTAAAAATCTTGTGGCAGGAAGCTGCTGAGGGTCCTGTTGTTCACAAGTGGCAGGACTGACGGATGTTTTCTCAGTATGGCTTTTCCCAGCAGCAGAGGAACGTATTTTCACATCCGTTTGTCTGTGTTCAATCAGTTAAATTACAGGGATTCCAGTGTCTTCAGTGTTTAAATGTACTTGAAAAACGAAAGCCCAACATTATCACTGGATTATAGTATCAGACCTGGAAAAGAGAAAATTCCAGTACTCAGAATGACTTCTAAAACATCCTGCTTCCTTGAATTGTGAAGAATGAGTTAATGTGAATTAAAATCCCAAACGGTGCTGTTATTAAATGTTCCTTGACTGGGGCTCACTTGGTGACTGCAGTGACGATGGCTTCGTCTGATCTGCCACCCGTCTTGGTCCTTAGAACTGGAGAGAGGAGACCTGGTGCGTCCTGCCCTGAAGGACTTGCTTCCTACAGGTCCGGCGGGCGCTGACTGAGCTGCAAGGTGCCCGGGCCAGGTGCCCGCTGCGCTGCACGCCCTGTCAGCACGGCTGCACTCGGACTGAGGCTGCTGCCTTGGCTCTCTGGTGTGGTCTGGGAGTGTGTCCGTGGCCAGGGCCCACTGCAGAAGAACTGGGACGATCACACCGGTCTGGATGAAGGGCCCGGTGTCTGCAGGGTCTTACATTGCCTTTCTGTCTCAGGAAACGACGTTGGCCGCAGCTCATATGGGGCCATGCAGGTGAAGCAGGTGTTTGACTATGCCTACATTGTCCTCAGTCACGCCGTGTCGCCCCTCGCGAGGTCCTATCCCAACAGAGACTCGGAAAGGTAATGCAGATCGTGTCACTGTCCTGGGCTCACAGCCCGGGTGGCCTGGAAGCTCCCTGCCTTGGCCTCTGTGCGGCGGGCGCTGCTGGCCTCGGTTGTTGGCCTCCATGAGGTTTATGAATGGGTTCGCCATTCATAGTACATTCTACTACATAGTCGTAGAATGTGTACACCAATTTGTACCATTCTACGACATTCTAGTAGAACTTGCGGTGATCGATGAGGAGGGCCACGTTTGGTTCATCCGTGGCTGAGCACTGAAAATTTCTTATTTGGGGGTTGTCCACCATTTCTTCAGGGCATTTTATTTTGGGGAAATGATTTCTGGCCTTTTCCCACCTTGGAATGTGATGCTTTTTCTTCAGGTTGTTCTCAAAATGCACATGATGAGCTTAAAGGGAGAGTACACGTGGGTCCGCGGGCCCCACCCTGCATCTCTCCTGCAGACCCATCCCTCATTCTGCGTTTGAGCTCACTTGTGCAGTGTGCACTTGTACCGGCCCGAGAAATCCTTGCGGAGTGGTCGGGAGGTTGGCGGGGTTGGCAGGCGGAGGGAGGGAGTGAGGGGGCAGTGGAAAGGAGGAAGAGTAAGATGGTGGCGAGAGGCCACGGGTGCCGTGCAGCACGGGGATTCCGGCGCTCGCGCTCACTGGCTCTTGGTGGGTTCTGTGCCTCTGCCCACTCAGTGGGGCTTTCCAGCAGGGCTCTGGGCCTGTGCCGGGTGTCTGCAGTCTCGGCACCGTCTGCTGGTACCAGACCTTCGTGGGTGCTGGGCGGGGCGGGGGTGCTCTTCTGCTCACGCACAGGGTTGAAGCCATCTTCTGTAGTAGCCGGCTCTAGGTTCAAGGACATCTGTGTAAGGAACTCACTTTTTCTGTAGTGTGATCTCAGAGTGCATTTGGGCTCCAGCATCAGAAATTGGAACACAATTTGTAAAATTATTTTGGTTTTCTTCTTTTTTCTTGGCAAAGTGATATGTTGTTGAAAATATAAGACAGCTAGTCAGAAGGGCTTGTGGGTTCTGCAGCCGCTCTGCAGCACATTGGTTCCCCCGCTGTCCCTTTGCAGTACTCTAGGAAGAATCATCAAAGTGACCCAGGAAGTGATCGACTACCGGCGGTGGATCAAGGAGAAGTGGGGCGGCAAGGCCCCCCCGGCGCCCGAGCTGGGTGAGAGCTTGTCAGGTCACGCGCTCTTGAACTTCTGATGCCTTGATGTGGGGGCGTCTTTCTGTCCCTCGGTGCTCATTGTTCCCACTAAGGAAAGGCCTCGTCTTCCCTAAGAGTTTACAGCTGGGAGATTTAGGGCAGTGGGAATACAGTGCCTGCCACACATGGACCTTTAAAGTTTCCTGTAGTAAGTGCATTAAAAATGTGAAAAGAAACAGGTGAAATTCCTTTTCCTATTGCATTTTATTTAGCATAGTATTGAAAATAGTAACATTTCTTTCATTCTTTTTTTTATAATTTATTTATTTGACAGACAGATCACAAGTAGGCAGAGAGGCAGGCAGAGAGAGAGGAAGGAAGCAGGCTCCCCACTGAGCAGAGCCCGACGTGGGGCTTGATCCCAGGACCCTGAGACCATGACCTGAGCCAAAAGCAGAGGTTTAACCCACTGAGCCACCCAGGCGCCCCCCAAATAATAACATTTCAACATGGAGTCTGCATAAAGAGTCTTGGAGCGATTCCAAACCCCCGGGCTGCTGCTGTGCCCGTGAGACCCAGTGTGCACAGCGCTCCCTGCCCCAGCCTCCCCAGAGACGTGTACCCTGCGTTCAGAGTCCCTAAGATTTACAGTTGAAAGCTGTTTACACATCCAGGTTGTTCTAGACATATCTCAAGGTTGTCTAATAACTGAAAGAAGTACAATTTTTTAAAATTAAGTAAATTAGGTAAATCAGAAATCAGTTTGGGAGTCTTGTTAGCAACGTGTCAAGGCTCGGTGGCCCCGTGGCTGGAGGCTGTCTGGCGGGGTGTGCGCGTCTGTCCTCTCAGCAAGTGGCTCAGCTGGGCTGTGTTGTCCCCACAGACAACAGAATTAAGATAAAAGAGCGAGTAAGTGCTTGCGACGGGGATCCGCCCCAGCGCCGGGACCCAGAGTCCCCCTTCAGCCAGCGCCTGACCTTGTCTCTGCCCAGCCCCCAGCTGCTCTCGTCAGGCTCTTCCGCCTCCTCAGTGTCTTCGCTTTCCGGGAGCGACATTGTGAGTGTGCCCTTGGGGAGCGTCAGTCACAGGGTGCGTAACCTCCCCTTCCGGTGTGTCTGTGCAGCCACCCCCAGACAGCACCGAGGGGCCCCTGCTCTGCCACGAGCCTCTGCCGGCAGTCGGGGACCCCATCCTTGCCGCTCACATGGCTGTAGCGACTGCCTGGAAGAGCGTTTTAGAGCTTTCGTGGGGTGACACGTTTAAGTGAGGGGTCTATCCTGTGTTCCCTGAGAGAACTCGGTGGGAGGGCGGGCGTCTCGGCGGGTAGGGCCATATGCTCGTGCCCTTCTGTGGCGTCGTCACGAGGAAGCAGCGCAACTCTCTGCGGTTGTCTCTGTTTTTCCTATTCCAAGGACTCTGACACGCCGCCCTGCACAACGCCCAACGTTTACCAGTTCAGTCTGCAAGCACCAACGCCTCTGCTGGCCGGCTTACCCACCGCCTTGCCCATGCCAAGCGGCAAACCTCAGTCCGCTACTTCCAGAACGTTGGTCATGACAACTAACACTCAGGTATGCGGCAGGCCGGTGCCCTTCCTTGAGACGGGCCCCTGGGGACCACGTCTGAGCCGGTGCAGGTGCTCTGGGGGCTCCTGGTACCATAGAATTAGAGACAGATCTTCAGAAATCTTCAGAAGGTACATTCCTATCTCATAGGGCATCCTTGTCCTTTGTGGACAGATCAGATGTAACTCCTGTCATTCTCTAGAAGACTGTGTCCTCGAGGCCCACCCTGTGCGGTGTTTGTGGCAGGGGGGCTCCTGGCTCTTGAGCACTGAGGGGCTTCAGACAAGGTCCGGGTTGAGCATCTTTCTGAAAATGACTGCTACCCTGCCTGAGACTGTGGTCCTTGGGGCCACGTCAGCTGGACTCTGGTACTACCTGCCGTAAGCCCCTGGCAGGAAAGGACCACCGTCCTGCTTCCTCTCAGAGTGTCTACATTTATACTGCCGAGAAGTTTATACTAAAACTTTGACTTCCTCATGTTATTATTAGACAGGATTTATATAGAATATGTCCTCTGTTCTTTTTTTTTCAATTTAGATGAAATTAGAAGCCTGAAAGATAATTTTAAAAATATTAGGTGTGGTATCCACAGTTAAATATAATTGAACATGTATGTGTAAAAACTTGTGTTAATTCACCTGTGAAGGAAGGTCATCTCTGCGGTGTGGGTTGTAATTTGAGCAGAGAGAGATGTGGGCGCGTGCAGACCTGCAGACTCCTGTCCGTCATCTGGCTCTCTGCCCTGGGAGGGCCTTCTCACGGGGCTCCCGGGCCGTGGGCATGGTGTCAGTCCTGCGTGAGAGCCTAACGCTGGAGCACTTGGCCACGGTGTCCTATCCCCCCCAGGGGCTTGGGTTCCCCTAGAGCCAGTGTGGCCACGGGGCAGTGGTCCCCCTGATGCTGTGTGCGTGGTTCCGGCTGGTCACAGGCCGCTGCTGGCACCCTGGTCCCGTCTGTCACTTTGCTAACAGCGGGTGAGGCTAAAGCTAAGATCATTTACATCATAAGCCAAGGCTCAAGGCCCACTTTCTCGTTTTGTTTCTAATCTGTAAACCTGACTTCTAGTGGAGCAGCTCAGTACACGCCCGTGGTGCACATCACGGGCACTCTGTCCCTGGGAGTTTGCCGGTGACAGAGCGCCCCGCTCGGGATGACATGGGCCCTGAGAGCCGGGGGCATGAGTCCAGCAGACCCAGGTATGGGCTCTTCCCAGGGACGCGGGCTCCCGGGCGAGGGAAGACCCCGCTGAGGAGAGAGCCTGCATGGGCTCCAGCCCCCCCCATGTGTGGGCTCTGTCGCCCCCGTAGAGCACCACCTGGGAGACCCGAGCTTCTGCTCCACCCACTGCTGTTGTGGTGGGGCCGCAGCCAGTGTCTGAGAGGGCAGATGCGTGGGGCTCCTCGGGGTGAGCTGTGCGGGTCCGGGAGGTCTGAGAGAGCTTCGCACCGGCACCCCTGCCCGCGGGCACCATGATGCAGAAAGACAAGCGGTCCCGGGGCCAGAGGGACGGGGGGCAGGGAGGGGCCGGCCTTCCCCGGCCCCCCTCTGCGGGCCGGCAAGCCTCTACAGGCCATCGCCTCGACCAGCGTCGGGCCTCCCGTCCTGGACTGCAGGTGGGGGGCTGCATTTCCGCTCTTTCTGGAGACCGGAGGGCAGGTGTCACTCTGAGGACTGGTCTGTTGAGCTGTGGCTTGGTCTTCGTGACTAACGAGACTTTACGACTCGCGTCACTGGACCTGCTCTCTGCTGGAGTGCTGTCGCAGGGTGTGGAATGCTTTGATGCAAAACAGATGCGGTCAGGTTAGAGGAAGACACAGACTCCGTGAATGAGCCTGCTTGCAAATGGCCGTTCCAAAGCAGCGCCCTCCCTTCTGGGGCTCAGCACGAGAACCGCTGACCTCTGTCAGCCTGGGGCCTCATGGATGCCTCTGGTCTTTCTGTTCCTAGACCAGGTTTACGATACCTCCACCGACCCTGGGGGTGGCCCCCGTCCCTTGCAGACAAGTCAGCGTTGAAGGAACTCCGGCGTTGAAAGCTGTTCACCACATGTCTTCCCCGGCCATTCCGTCCGCATCTCCCAACCCGCTCTCAAGCCCTCACCTGTATCACAAGGTAGGCCTCCCACCTGGCCCCGGGCCCAGTGTCCACAGCCCAGGGCTTCCTGCTCTCTCCGCCAGAGATGGGGCTCCACAGAGATGTGATTTAAAACGGAATTTGTTTTCTCATCATTCAGCTTCATGTTTGTTTTTCTTTGTGGTGGATGAAACTTTATTTTTTTTTTTTTAAAGATTTTATTTATTTATTTGAGAGAGAGACCGTGAGAGAGAGCATGAGCGAGGAGAAGGTCAGAGGGAGAAGCAGACTCCCCATGGAGCTGGGAGCCCGATGTGGGACTCGATCCCGGGATCCCGGGATCATGACCTGAGCCGAAGGCAGTCGTCCAACCAACTGAGCCGCCCAGGCATCCCAATGAAACTTTTAAAGTTATTTTCAAATATAGTTTAAGCATCTGTCTTCCTTTTCCACTGACTTAACTTCGATGCCAAACACTTGGCTGATACGTCAGGGACAGATGCTGGTGGGACCTGTGGCGCGGTGCCGCCCGGCCTGTGTGGCTTCACCGGCTCCTCCTTTGTGTTGGGCGCCCGGGGCAGGGGCCCTGCATGGGGTCTGCTTTCTCGGTTCCAGCGGGGCCCCGTGAGTGCATCTGTTGGTGCCCTTGTGGCTTCTCTAAGTCCAGAGTCTGCACACAAGCAGCTGTTCTGGGGTTGGAAAACAGGTTGTTAGCTCGTTCCCTGTGCCCTTGAAGGGCCGGAGCGTTTCTGAGAGCTGTGGCAGTGTCTGCCTGTAGGAGTCAGGTGCAGTGTCTGAAGGGGAATGTGTTCCCTTGGGCTCTGACGACACTGGGGACCCTCACCTCAATGACTGTAGTCCGTTTCTCTGTTGCTTATCTGATTGTATTTTGCCAGTAAGTTTTTCATGTTTAAGGGTTGGCTCTCTGAGCTGTCATTAAGGCCAGATTGTTGTGTTCACTTGGAGCTAAGTCAGGGAGCTTTCCTCCTTGGATTCACCCCTTGGGTCACGATGGGGTTTTCAGGGCACCCCGGGCGTCTCCCGCTGGCCTGCTGGAAAGACAGGGGCGAGATAACTCCTTGAAGGGGAAAGCACCTTCCTTCATGCATTTTGGCTTTCCCGCACAACGCCCTCTGTGCTTGTTTGCTCGGCACCCTTCCCGAAAGCGGCCGTGTTCTCCTGGTGGGCTTCGCGCCGGGCCGCGGGTAGAGCAGCAGCCTGAGCGCCCGCCTGGCGTGTGCGGCGTCCGGCCCGCGGTAGCGGGAGCGCTGCCTGCTGGACGTGAACTCCTGCGTGTGTCTGCACGAGGTCAGAGCTGAAGCGGGGAAGATAACATTCTGTGCACACACAGGACCAGTTAGGAGTGTGACGCTCACAGCTTCAGATGGGAGAGTGTGTATGTGCTCTGAGCCGGCTGGGTCACTAAGTGGGCGCAGTACTGTCTGCTGGGTGTAACGGTCCCTCTGACCCGCAAGCTTGGGGCTCTGCGCTCCTTCCTTCTTCCATCCCCGGGACACTGCACGTGGCCGTCGGGTGCAGCCCTTGTGCGCGCTCACCGTCCGCGGGCCTGGTCTCCGGTGGTGGGGGTGGAGGGCGCAGCTCGGGCACATGGAGGCGTGCTGCCCCCGACCGAGCCCCCCAGCAGCGGCGTCTGGGGTCTCCAGGGCAGCCGCCCACACTGCCGTCCCTCTCTGTCTCTCTAGCAGCACAGCGGCATGAAGCTGTCCCTGAAAGGCTCCCACAACCACAGCCAGGGCGGCACGTACAGCTCTGTGGGCAGTGGAGGCGTGCGGCCCCCCGTGGGCAACCGAGGACACCACCAGTACAACCGCACCGGCTGGAGGAGGAAAAAACACACGCACACGAGGGACAGCCTGCCCGTCAGTCTGAGCAGATAATAGCCCCTGATGGCGCCTCCCGCTCCCCCTCCCCTCGGCCTCGGCGCCCAGCCGGGAACTGAGACCAGCATCCAGCACGTCGGCCTGGGCCCCTCGGACCGCCCGCCGCTGACCACTCTGCATGTCCCTCGTGTGGTGGTCACGTCCATCTTAAAGAACAGCTCCTTGTGCTCATCTGTGAAGCCTTATTAAGCGTGGACGCTGTGTCTGCCTTCCCGGGACGCTTCTCCTTCAGGGCCGGAGCAGGTCTGCACCGGGACCTGCGGGACGGACGGCCGGTCTGGGTCCGTTGTGGTTGGGTTGTTCCCAGGGCACGTCCGCCAGAGTAGCAGAGGTCAGCCCCTGTTCTTGTTCCTTCCCCAGTGGGTAGGGTTGGGAGGTCGCCATTGTGTCACTGCCCTCACGTTTTGTTTTCAAATTTCAGAACTGTTTTTCTATGTAAATATTGAAAACTTATGATTTGTGCAATAACTCAGATATTTTTATTTAATTCATATTTTCACATAAGTTATATTTAAGGGAGGAGGTTTTTTAAACAAGCTTAGGTCCTTTCCCGAGTCGCATTTTCTAAGTTGGGTTCATCGTGTCGGCTGGTTGTCTGAGGAGCACTGCTACCAACACCGTGAGTGAGGGGCTCGGGGTTTCTTTCTGTTTTTCTTTTGGTCAGACACGAGGCCTCTCTGTTCGTGGCGGGAGAGCCGAGCAGCCCCGCGCTTCCCCGCAGGGGCTCGGCTCCCAGGCCTTCTGACCAGCTGCCCGCCGGCCCCGCCGTCCGGCCTGTCTGTCGTCTCGCTCTGACCACAGACCTTTAACATTTTGGTTTTCGGTTCTTTTCAAGTAGACAACAAATCCAGCATTTAAAGTGCCAGAAGTATAACTTTCTAAGGGGAGAAAGGGTTGTCACATTATAAAATCTTAAAAAAAAAAAAAAAAATGTGAACTTTGAAGTGCTTCGGTTTGTTTTAGTCACATAGCCTGCCAGGATGGGTCCGGTGACCATCAGTGCGGACAAGGGCACCCAGTTTTAGGAATGTGGAGAAAGGAATTATGTTGATTCCATTGAGGAATCTGTGTAGTAGTATGCGTTCGTTCTGTTAAGAGCAAATCTACGAGGAGTACTTCAGCTGCTCAGTGCACGGGGGAGTATTTGTAACGCGTCGCAGGAGGGCACAGCCTGGGGTCGGGGCCCGGAGCAGCCGGCGCGCGACCTGGAGAGCAGACAGGTACACTGTGCAGGTATGGTCTGCCGTGACAGCCGCTGTCTTCGTTACCTTCTTTTGAGCAAGAATATATCCACGTGGCCGAACCCTGAGTTTTTGGAGCACCACAGTTGTCCTGGGTGTTAGCTGCGTCTCATAGGTCACCTGACCTCCCGTTTTTAAAATGGGGGGTTCCGGCCCTGCTGAACACTACAGGTAGGTTGGTCTTTGAAGTCCACTAGTAGAGAAGGTCAAGTCAAAGAGACTGAACTACCATGACATCTGATGGATGTGCGGAGCGGGGAGCTGGAGTGCGGCCTGGGGGCGGGGTCCCGGGCTCTCCCCCAAGACCCGCAGAGGCTCGGCCTCTCCCCTGGGACCGGCCCCTGGGTGCGGCTGCGGCTTCTCCGGGGGGCCTTCCAGAAGAGAGTAGCACATGTTTGCAGTTCTTGATCGAAAGTTATCAAAAATATTTAAAGATATTTAAATTGTGAATCTATTGATAAAGAAATATTTATAAAAACTGATACGTAGGCCTGTACTAATCTCCACACATTAGCAATATTGACTGTCCCCCTACATTAAGGAGCCCCTGCGGGGCGCGGGTCCCGCAGGGGTGCATTTTAAAGCTCGATTCACAGACACAGGCACCACGCTGCACCCCGTCGTGGTGAGCCGGATGAATTGGCCTGGCCACCCCTGTGGTCGCGCTACACGGTGAACAAAACAGTATCATGTTTCGATTTTTTTTGTGTGTGTGGACAACAATGTGGAAGCTAAAATTGACATATTTTTATGTAAAGTTTTTCTATTCTTTGATTTTTAATAAACTTTGGAAACCAGGTGGTGTTTGTGTTGGAGTGTTTGCTTTCCACTCAAGAGGAAGGGCAGCTCTACCATTTCACATTCTTGAACTTAAACAGAGCAGTGAAAAGTTCCCTTCTCCTTGGTTTGGGGACTTCAGAGTTGTGGTTCCGAGCTGCGTACAGAGGAACGGCAGCCGAAGCCTAGCGTTTGCTCACCTTCTGGACCAGGAGGGAGGCCCTCACACCGTTGATGTGACACCGTCCACGTGCCATCTCCGGCCAGCCCGGTGTGCAATACTGTGGCACCAATGATGCTTTCCGGAGAAACGGCTCCTTCTACATCTCTCTTAGGTCAAATTAGATTGCTTAAAAAGAGCACTTTAAAAAAAATTTCTTTTTTAATTAGCACAAGTAGGGGGCAGGGCAGTGGCAGAGGGAGAAGCAGGCTCCACTGAGCAGTGAGCCTGATCCCAGGACCCTGGGATCATGACCTGAGCAGGAGGCAGATGCTTAACCAACTGAGCCACCTGGTGCCCCTAAGAACACATTTTAAACAGCTAAGCAGTCAAAATGTACCTTAAAATATAACATATTTAGAGTTTATGAGGAGGTATTTAAGAAGTCATACAGAGCAGTGAGTGACAGAACCACGTGTCGCAGCCTCCCGGGCCCCAGGAGGGTGTGTGCTAGAATGTTCCATCATGGGGCCTGGGACAACCCTTTCATTTGCTCCTTCCCCAAGGGTTTCCAGAGGGCTCCCAGCAGGGGCTGCCCCGAGGACACAACAAGACCATCTGCACGCAGCACCTACATTCTGACAAGGCTGCAGAGAACCCCAGAAAGCAACTACTGTGCCCCATGTCAGTGCTGTGAACAGCGGCTGCAGGCAGAGTGACAGGTGTGTCTGTGGCTCGGGCCACTGGAAAGCCCTTGAGCTGGGGGAGCTGGCATGTTGGTGGCACAGCAAGGAGGCTGTGGAGCACTGGCCAGGAGCAGGTGCAGAAGCAGAGACTGGGGGGAGGGGAGCCGTGACAGGAAGCCAGAGGGTTTCTATGTCCCTGTGGCCACTCACTGGAGAGCGGCTGAAGGCAGTGTTGAGGTGGTCCAGGTGAGCAGTGACCACCCTCGGGGGCCCTGGGCAGGTGGGATGGGGCTGGCTAGACCACACTGATGGGAGGGGGGGGGCGGGGGGCGGGGCCCTGCTGCCCATGGCCCTCAGCACGACATGGTCCACAGGAGCCCCAGGCCCCTAGAAAGAGCCCATCGAGTCAGTAAGTCACACCTGTCAGCCGGGAGCCCCAGGGAGGGGGAACTACCTGTCCCTCTGCAGGCTCAGGGCGGGCGAGAGGAGGCCCTGTTCCCTGGGCCTCCCTGGGAAGTGGCGGGGCAGTGGGGTGGGTACTGGAGGCCGCTCACGGCTCACACGGTCCATGCTACTCAGCTTTGAGTTGAGGACCTGCGGGTCACTGCAGTGACCCCCGGTCCCCAGAAGTCCTAGGATTCCGAGTTTGCTCCCTTGTGGCCGGGGCTCCCTGACTTCTTCCAGTTGTGGGGTTGGATGTGGGGCATCCACGCTCGAGGTACTTGGGGTTCGTGTGCACAGCGTGCGGGGCCTGGGCTCTGGCAGCAGGTGCACACGGGAGGTGGCGGCCTCCGCAGCTTGGACGTGCCCGCTCCTGGCACACGTCTTTTGCAGTCGGCCTGTGGTCACCTAACTGAAGTCTTGACGAGGGTGTGTGGTTTATCCTCCGCTTTTCTAACTTGCGAAGTCCTAGGGAAGGGGAGTGGCCACCGAGAAACACCTCAGCCCCAAACATCCTGCCTTCGGGGCTAGTTCTCACTAGGAATGGCTGGAAAAGAGGTCTCACTGTTGTGTTCCGTTGGCTTCCCGCGGTGGGGCAATTCCTAAGAGATTTGTCAAGAGGACGCTTGGACAGAGCTGGTGGTGCCGCTCCCCTGTAGTCCCGGCATAACTGTATCCTGGAGCAGGGCCGGCCCGTGACTTCAAGGCCCTGGACTGAGTTCCAGGCAAGATCAATAAACTGGGCCCAGATTCTTCCGGACACTGCGCTCTTTCTGCATGACCTCTGACCCAGAATGTTCGAAGCACTGATGGTGTTAAAGGTCACACAGAGGTTCTATTGTGAGTCACTTAGGGGTTTGGAAAGAAGTGTGTGACAAGGCAGATTTGAGGCCTTCCTGCCTGTGTTTCCTGAGGTCCTGAGTGTCTTCATGGCGATGGCTGTGGACGGCTGTGGCCAAAGCCAAGCCCACTCAGCGGGCACATCCTCAGGCCCGAGACGGGAGCGTGAGGGGGCAGTCTGCCCTGGGGTGAGGACGCACCAGCCCCCGATGGGAGCAGTGTCCAGGGCCGAGCGTGCTGCAACCCCGCTCCCGCCTGGGACCCAAGGGATGGCGCGTCCTGACTATGGAGGTCAGGGATGCTCTGGTTCTCCGGTGGTCTGAGAGCCGCTCCTCAGTTTGGGTGGAAAACTTAGACTTTACGTTACCATTGAGTCCCGTGAGTTTCCCAACTGGCCTGTTCCGTGGTCCCCTGTAGGCAGAGCCTCCCTGGACAGTGGAAATTGTCCCGCGGCCCCCATGGGGAGCCGAGAGCCACCTGCTGGGCAGTTGAAGTGGTTAGGGGAAAACTGCTTGGCTCACGAACGGTGGAGCTTGGCTGCTGGCCTTGGCCTTTCATGGTCAGTGTTCGTGGTCACGATACTGCTGCTCGGAAAGGCGGGTTCTGGAAGAGCACTCTGGGACCGCTTCAGACACGTCCTCTAGTCCCAGCCCGTAGCCGGTTTAGCTCACTCTGGACATGCCTGCGTCCGCCCCGGGCTTCTTGCAAGAGAGCAAGTCCCTGTGCTCAGAGCCCTCCGTCAGCTGTTTCAGTTCCATTCTCCCGGCCAGAGCCCGCCCTTCATCCACGTCCCTGCCGGCCCCTAGGCCCTGCACGCCCGGGACGACTGCTGGGGCCTTCAGCCAGGCCAGG